ATAGTGGGGGGATAATCGGACATGCTCTATAGTATTGAACTATGGAAAAAATAATGAACTATGGCCACATTTACGGGGCATCATAAATTTATCAGTTTCACAGTAATTTATGTCCCATTTATGTTCCATACAGTAACTATCGCCATGTTCATAGTGACCTCTGCACCGAAATTTTCGGACGGCAATTTGATGAAAGATTGAGTCGAAGTTGAGTGAATCAGGGGGGTGGTTCGTGGGTGGTTTATCTGCACGCACATGCGAGGGGGTACCGGAGAGCTCCCGGGCGAGGGTAGCGCGCGCCACCCCGTAACCTCTCACTCCCCCACCCCCAAATGTAGCCCTCGGGGTGATTCTCGCGGTGCGCCACGCTAGTCGAATCCCTCCCTCTGGGATGGCCCCGTCGGCCACCTCAGTTCGATATCCGACGTTGCGCTCACTAACACGCGATTGAAAAATATTCTAGTGATAAACAATAAGATATCAAATGAATAAAATGTGAAGTATATTGTGGACAACGGGGAATTGTTTAGCGTGAGTTGATTATTTCATTCCGTGAAATATATCGCGGGGGGGTCTTATTGTCATTACTTGTTTATCCATGTGGTGATTTATTCTCGAAACGAGGATAAACCATTCCTTTTCAGGTCTCAGCTGTCGCCCACGCTATGCAAATTCTCCATTCGTATCCGATGAATAACTGTGCACTTTATAAATGATGACATTGATACTCTCGAATGAGGTATTTTCCGTTGATATTTCATTCTCGCGGGATTGACGAGTCCCTCCGAGTCCGTGAATTCTCCTGGCATAATTTCTTGGTGAATAAATATTCTCAACTGGTATTTATCGCGAGATATTCATTCTCAGGATTTTTATCACGCGGTGGAGAGTCCCAGGCGATAAGTCCCAGATAAATAAATATTCAATTAAAATAGCTGAGTGCTCCTCTAAAATTATCTTCACAGAATTATTCTAATTATTTCCACTCCAAAAAAATCCGTAATCGGTTGGTCTTATTTTTATTAATTATCGCTCCGGATATACGGAGAGGACAAGTCATTTTTTGCGAATATTTCCCTCCGATTAGTGAAAGCTTTTATTTTTCTCTACAAAATATGAGGTTTCAACTGTAAAAAACGGTTTTCCCCGAATTACCGATTTTCTTCTTTTTTCATTTTATTTATTATAGATTGCTCCACTTTAATTTACGCTCAAAGGGTCTGCCAACATCTTTTGAGATGATAAGGAACCAATCGAATTGAAATTGCAAAAGTCTGACAATTTTACCTCAGAAAATTTCAGTTGAAAGTGGAATTTATGGCGCGTTATTTTTCTTGGATGTTATTTTAATGCGGCGGGTGTGCGGAGGCGAAAGGTCGAAGCGACGGTTTTTTTTTTAATTTTTGAAATATAAAACGAAGAAAAACATTTTTCCCTGGGATTATAAATTTTTACCGTTCCGATAATTATGGATTATTATAAAACACCATTAGGGAATTATTTTACATTCTCTTCTCAATCTCCTGTATTAACCCCCGATAATTATTTATAGAATAATAACTCTCCTCGTTCTAATGATCTTGAATAATTCCGTAATTTACAGAAATTATTTCTCCAGCCGCCTTATAATCCAATTAAATAATTTCCAGCATTTTTCAAAAAATACATAAACATTTATTTAAATAAATAATTCAATTCAAAATTAATTTTAATTCAATTCAATTTATTTCTTCTGCTTTACATATAAAAATCTTTTTTTTAATATGTTCAAATATATATATATATATATATAAATACTCAATATAAATATATTTTATATAATATTACAATATATTCTATTTTATAAACACTGATTTTTATTATATAATTTTTATTATAATTGCTCCGCAGATTTTTAATCTGCAGATAGGTACAGTTGAATTTAAAGAAAGTTGAAAGATTTTTCTGACCAAAAAAAAAAATAGTGGGGCACATGTGAGCTATGTATTTTAGGGGATATATATACTATACGGGTCATTTGTTTGAATCATGTGCGATTATGTAGTGAAGATATTTTTTTCTCCTGGGAAAGGGTCAAGACGAGAAAGGGATGGGATAAATACGACGTCTCGTGGGATTGACGTTTCGGACCCTTCGGTTATTCCATTCCTTCCGGTCGACTGGAGAACCTGTGGAACTTGAAGATAATCTGTGTGGGAGTGGGGTGAGACCTGAAAAATCCAAAGGCTCGTGGCTCATATCCCCAGGTTTTACCGTATTTTTCCCTTTTTGTTTTCCTCTTTTCTCCGGCTTTTCTGTCATTCT